CAAGAACTCCATAAGATTGATGATACATTTCGGTGGGGACGACCAACAAGAGGGCGATTCCCGCCTCTGCATTCATAGATGCGCTGTCCTTTTCTTGGTTTTCTTGATTTTTGCTTTTTTTTCCTCCATATTTTCGGAGGCTTTTCTCAAAGTTTCTACAATTTCCTCATTTGTAGGAACTCTTGGAAGGTCCGGTATTCCTCCTTATTATTCTTATCCGGTGGGTCTTTCTTGGGGTTAAAGAGGTGTTTCCTCATATTTCTTTTGAAAGACGCAATTTTTGGCTTTTTTTCGTAATTAAGAAAGAAGGCACTTTTTTTTTTTCCTTCTTATCCATTTTTAAGGGGGGGAAAGGGGAGGGATGGGAAATAAATTTATGGGCGAGAGGAAGAAAAAAAATAAATAAACAAACTAAAAATAATTATGCACACCAAATTACAATAAGGAATAAACACGCTTCACTTAAACGTATAAAAAAAACAATAAAAAATACAAATATAAGCCTAAAGGCGAAAACAATAAAAAGACAAACACAAAAACGTTAGACAATAAAAAAAAGAAAAACTTAACCAAAGTCAAGCTAAAAAAAAATCAAAATGGCCGACGTCACCAAAAAATTACGAAACTATAACACAAAAAGCTAGTTACAAAAACCAAAATGGCCGGCGCCAATAAACAAAAAAAAACGAACTAAGACAAACGAAAGCTAGACAAAAAAATAAAAATGGCCGACCCTAAGCGAAGCTTCGAACCAATAAACAAAAGAAAATAAACAAATAGATTAAAACGATTACAAGCAAAAAAACACGTAAAAAAAAAAGGATGAAAACAATTAAATAAAAAAATTAATAAGCAAAACACAAAATAAAGAACAGGACAAAAAAAAAAAGAAAATGACAATTAACACGGAAAACTAGAGAGAAAAAAAAAATAAAAAGGGGTAGAAATGAGAAGAAAAAAAAAGAAATTACAGGAGAAAAAAACGAAATTAAAAAAAAAAGAAAACGATTAAAATTAAAATCAAATAGGAAAAAAGGAATAAAAAGAATAAAGAGTAAAAAATAAAAAGGAGGGGGAAAAAAAAAAAAGAGAGTAAAAAGGAAAAAATCAAAAAAAAGTTACAATAAGGTCGTAAATAAACAAACTTTAAACAAAAATGCAGTTCACAAGGGCAACAGGTAAAGTCACTGAGAGAAGTAGTCAGCAATAGTCCAAAAATTAACAAAACCAATACTCATCTGTAACTTAATACATATCCTGCAAACTGAGAAATCATGCTAGTATTTATATAGTAATACTTCCACTCAGGTACCAGCAGCCAATCACAGCCCAAGCAATGGACTATCCCACTTTAGCATAATGAGATGCTCCATTGCACCATAAATAGCTCTGTCTCTATGTTGAATTAGTGCTTCACTCAGCTTGCTCCACAACTGAGTGGTTATCTTGACCACGTGATTGTTCATTTTGGAGAAAGGCATTCTAAATGGAGTTTTTCAATGGACAGTGGTCGAGAAGAAACTGAGACAAGACAGAGTTTCTTTCTGTTTTGTATTTTACTTCATGCTATTTTGGCTGTGATGATTATTTAAATTTTCCAAAAATGGCAAAGGTGGAACTTAGCAGTGACGTAATAAAGCACTTCCATGGTGATGGAGATGTGGAGGCATGGCTCAAGAAGGTGTGGCTGGTGGCAAGACTACAGAAAATAGAAGATGTAGCAAGACTTTTATCTTTGAAGGAAGACACACTACAACTCTATTTGGAGATGGATGGGGATCAGCTGACAAACATTGACGATTGAAGCCTGGTTGAAGGAGGTTTTTTCAGACAGGGTATAAAGCTTAAACTGGTTAGGTAGGCAGGAAAGCATGTGGATGTTTACACCAACAAAAATTAAACAACTTCCAGGAATGGCAGGGTTCACAGAGTGTGGTCTTGATATGGTAATGAAGTTGGCATTTGTGACGGGGTTCCCCAATGATATTTCAACTGAGTTGCAACAAGCACTGGCCATCAAAATGTTGACTATGGATGATTTGCTGACAAGGGATACAGTTGCAGCCACACAGATACATCAAAGTAAGGTTGGAGTTCTGCTTGAGGTGAATCCCTAAACAGGTATCACTTGTTAGAGGTGCATAGACCAGGGCCACATGGCCAGAGACTGCAATAGACTGCTTGGTGGGACAAATACCCAGAGATCACTGCAAGAGATGCAATGCTTCAAGTGCAATAAGATCAGAATGCCAAAGAAATGACTCTTAGGGGGAAAAGACATCAGACTCCTCCCCAAGCAATTAAAAAACTAGGTGCATCCTCTCATCTGCCATAGTCAACACCAGCTGTTCCAAGACACTGATGAGTAAATCGGTATGTCAGATGAGAGTGGAGATGCTAGAACATTGAAGTGTTAACCACTGATAGAATGATTATGAGGTGCCATGGAACTAGCCAAGTGAGCTTGCAGTGAGCCACATGTGCCATTTGCACTTAGAGGGAGTGCACCTGACCAAATTGGGTGAAGTTCATTTTCTCTCAGAGAACTTACCCAGGTGTGCCACAATCAAGAATGAAGCTTAGTGATATCCCAGGATAGAGCAATATGTACATTCACAACAACTTTGACAACAAATGTCTAGTGTCCACTGATCAAGTGAAGGAACACCTGGCAAAATTTGGACTGGCTTACAAAACTCCTGCAGATAGGGCATGAGTGCTCAGACTGGGTGTTCAAAACAATGGTGGCAAACTATGCTAGGCACAAGAAGACACTCCAGAGTTCCCATTTGTTATGATGTGGCAGACAATCTTTGCAGTGTGTGAAAAACTTGTTGGTCAGTTTCCTGTTTGTCGTTGGCTCCACATGATGACAGCATATATAAAACATCATACCAACAAGTTTACAACTGGATGGGATCATGATATGAATGATGCCCTCTACCCACAGTATGCTAGTAGAGACATTGGCTAGTGTAGCAAAATGATCCCATGAGAGGCAATTGGTGTGTAAATGGATGCTAATTCACGGTTTGGGTGGACGTTAGCTCCCTTGCTACTGGGGTCGTGCTGGAAGCCGACAGATCAATCATTGAAGATGCATGCTCGTTATACCTAGTGAATAACTCACAACACAGTGAGCTGGCAGGGCTCGACAGTGCTGAAGGGAGTTAACCTAGCGCTCAAGTGGCAGGTGAAGATGCTACATCTCATGGCAGATTCAGTCTGCATCCACCTAACAGCCAAAGCAACTAGCAAAAGGCTGCTACAATGACAGCTTCATATGCTCGTGGATCTAACTAATGAGTATGGGCTATCAATGGATGTAACACTAGTCAAATCATATGGCAACAAAGCTGACCAAAGTACCTCAGTGGTGGTTGAGCAAGATAAAATCAGAAGTTGAACCTACTTAGTATATGTGCACTGCAAATCAGCTGAGAATTCAGCAAATAGTACATATCCATCAATGGGTCAGATACCCTGGGATAAAACGCACATTATATTTTGCCAAACAGAGAGACTTGGTTGTTTCAAAAGCCAATGTATGAGTGGCTGAGAAGATGTTTGCAGTGTGCCAGTTGATCCTGTGCCTGTACACTGGCAAAAAGGAAAGCTTGATGTAAAGGACAATTGGAGCAGGTTAGAAGTGGATATCACTTATGACAGTGGCCACTATCTGACATTTATTGATTGTGTTCCTTCAAGGTTTGCCATCTGGTGCCCCCTGAATCAGTAGGACTCAGCAAGTGTCGTATGCCAGCTGGAGTCCATATTTTATGAGCGATGCCCACCGGTTGAGATTCTGACTGACAATGACACCTAACAATTTTGGCAATTCCTGCATGACTGGGGTATATATGTCAGGAAACTGGCAGGAAACAGTATAGTTGAGAGAAGCGACTAGGAATGATGTTCCATGCCAAAGGTGATCTACTGGTATAATGTCATGCCAAAGGACAGCATCTCAACCTCTACAACGCTGGTCAACATTATACACAACTGCAATATCCGATCGGTCTATATTTCTGAGATGAGGTGTTATGTACACTATTTACATTGTTTGGACTATTGTCTTCATCTTTGTTGCCATATTTATTACAATGTTTTGGCCATTATACATCCCGGCCTTCTTCAGGTGGTTGGAATGTCGAACTGAAACCTTTATTTTGCTCGCTGGGGTAGACTGTTCTAGTTCCACATGCCATGTCTAATAGATGTCAGTTATCTCCTGTTAATTCCCCTCTCCAAGTTCTCCACTGCATTAACCAGGTATTGAACTCACACTCTTTGGGTCCTGTCAAAGGATCTGACTAACGCCTTTATCCACTGTGCCGTGTGAGGCACAATGGATAAAGGTGTTAGATTGAAATTTGTAAAGAATACGACGTCATTAATGAATTTGTTTTAGGGGTTGAATTTCAGGAAACTGAATTTTTAAAACAATTAAATCAAGTCTCAGCAGTGTTATCAATGAAATAAGATAGTAAGAATATAAAAAAAAAAAACAAATGCTAAATCTAATATGAAAACTATTAAAGACATACCTAAAAATAGTAAGAACTTTCTGGTAGCCTAATATATCTTTTTCAAATAAAGTAATTTTAGTTATCATTTTTATAAAAAACCAAGATTTTGAATTTGAACAAAACGCTTTATTTCATTAGGACCTAGGTTTACTTCTCTGTACATTTAATCTTTTTCATTAAACCACTTTGTTTTTCACTTTTCATTACACTACTTTAATTGAATTGAAATACTTTTTCACACATGATGAAAATGTCTACTTAGTCTTTTCTGATATTGTAAGCTGCATCATCATAATAGTACTACAATATTTTCAACTCCATAATGAATATTTTTAATTACATGACTGTACTACAAATGGGAATTATGCAACAGAAATTTCAACATTTTCTGTTTGGCCCAATTTAAAATTATGTAATATTTATATTTAACAATCAGTTGAGTTGAACATAAGTTTTTTTTCTATTTTTCAGATCATCTATAAACTGATTGATCTTGGCTATGCTAAAGATCTTGATCAGGACAGCATTTGCAACTCATTTGTTGGAACTTTACAATATTTGGTAAGATCTTTGTGGGATTTTCTGAAATCAATTTATTCATAATAGATAGAATGCAATCAAGATGCAATTACCTATAAATTATCAATGAAATGTTTTCACTAAGGCTGACTACTCTCTGATTCCACTTTATGGCTTTTTACCAACTCAAATAAAGTTAAAAATTATGTATATATTCTTTTGTAACAAATTTACTTATGACATATTTAAGTTAAAAAATTACAAATGTAGACATAAAGAAATACTTATTTTGCAAAAATATAATTTTAAAATAACATGAACCAATAGTTTACATAGTTACCAGCAATACTATCAGGAATGTATTTCTTTATATTTGATAAAACAAGATTCAAATTATCTGTTTATAAAATAGTGAATTCTTAGCAATTACATAACCACTAGTTGCCACAAATTATCAATTGTCTCAATTAGTAACACATAGAGACAACAATTCATAATCAAAATAACTAGATGACACTTCCAATTGTGGTATAACTTTATCAAGAAAAAGAGGAAACAGCATGCACAATTATAATACAAGTATTTTCTTTAATGTATGTAGTATTTTGGCCAAATTTTAGGAACCAAATGTTTTATATATAATGTACATGTGTGTAAATATATGATGCCCTGGAATATGTATTTTTCAGGCTCCAGAACTATACCAACAGCAAAGCTATACGCACACTGTGGATTATTGGTCACTAGGGACGGTTATTTTTGAGATCATCACTGGTTTCCGTCCATTTTTACCAAACATGCCTCCAGTTAAATGGTAAGTATTTGATCTTATTCAGATGCTAGATTTGCAAGGCTATAAATTAATAATTCTTCAATTAAAATTGATAATTTTATGTTGCAGTATATGTGAAGAAAATAGTTACATGCACAAACTATCAGCAATTCTAACATTAAGGAATTTTGACTTTAAATCGGAATAGGACAATCAGGCATGGCCGATTGGGTGCCAGCTTATTTAATGCCAGACTTTTGGACACTAAGGAAAAAAATGTTGATTGATTCATCATTCAAAGGTAGAAAAATATATTCCAAAACTATTTTGAGTTATTTCCCTTGCATTTCGGACATACAAATCTTTTCTAAATACTGTAATATAGCTTTTAGTTCATTTGGTAATTAGGAGCAAGTCTTCTCAATCGAAAGCATCCATATTTTCAAATCTAAGAAGAGTTTTATGCATTCTTCTATCTGCATCTTTATACGTTTTTAGTTTCTGTTGTGGTTCATGCCCAGTTAATAACCCTTCATAATATGAATCTCTACCTTTCTGTACTATATGCAAACCATCTATTAATTTCTATATAGATGTTGCATGCTAAGTTTGTATTTAATTGACAGTGGATTACCTTCGCATCTTCCTCGTTTAATGTACTCTGATGAAGCTCCCAAATCTCAGGGCGAAGTAGAGGAGCTTGTCTTCCATTTCTTTGTCAGTTTTTATACCTGTTGAGTAAATCTTGGAGTTCTTTGGGCAGTTCGATTGCTAGAGCATCATCAGTATTCTGCAAAGGCAACACTCATTTTAGCTTTTAACACAAAAACTGGATCATTTTTATACAAACAAGTGAATCTCAATCTAGCTAGATGTTTTTGCATATTTTGAGCTCAATTAACAAAAACATCCTTTTATTTGAACATTAGGGAATATGTCCTTCATAACACTGTGCAGTTTGTTCAAAATTGGAAATGATTTAAGTAGGTTTCAAATTGAGTTTCATTTCTTTCAATAACTGGAACATTCTCACATATGTGGTGTGTTGCTTGTTGTGCAAAAGAGTGCCAGAATTACATAAATCTAAGAAGAGAGGCTGGGAGTAATATTGGATATGTTAATGGCAAACCACATATCAGAGCCAACTCTGTCTTTTGAAGATATCCAGTCAGGACCTGGTTCACTATCACACAGTAAAAATTTTTCTTCTAATTCTGGTTGAGAGACATGTATTCTAGAGCATTGCCATATTATTATATTACAAATTATCGTTGCAAATCAGTTGATGGAGTCATTCATCATTGAATTAGACTTTTTGCATATTATTTTTCTCAAAGCAGACATATTAGAAATGATGACTAGACTAGCTCGAGATATCTGTCAAACATTCACTAACAACTACAGTCAGTGACTCAAGAGTCTCCTCTGCTCTTTTTTTATTTTAGTTTTCACAAGTGCAACCTTTAGTTGTACAGCAGAAGCTTCATGTCAATGGTTGTTCAGCGCCAACTTTAAAATGGAGATGTGCTATGCATTAATTTTTTTTTTTTTTTTTTTTTGCTCACACCCCCAAAATTGGCTTCTTTCATTAAAAATTTGTTTTCATGTCTGCATTTTGAAAAAAAATACACAGGAGTAACTGAACCCTGGAAACAAAGAAACTATGCACACAAAACATCCTTTACAAATAGTAAATACATGGACAGCACAATGCTTTCTAAACATATCTGGGAGATTCAAAACAAAAACCAAATCACACCAAAAATATGGGAAATAAGGAAAATAGTATCAGCCTACAATAATAAATCCAAAAAGTGTAAACTCTGTCTGGAGTAAAAAAATAACTATAATTACCTTCCCAGACCAACTATTAAATTAATGATCAGAACTGCTCAAAATGCAGACCTGAAAACAAATTTTTACTACATTACTTGGAAATCAAAAACTGAAAATGAACAAGAATAAACAAAAATAAATAATAAAATAATCCAAACCAATAAGTAAATAATAAACAACACACACACTAGCACAGGTAAAAGTAATAACAACCAAGAATAAATAATCAAAAGTTAATAAACAGTCAAAAATCTGCATCCAGACCAACAATTATTTTTACTCAATAGACCCTAGTGTGGCGGGAGCAATATCACCCCAAAATAATAATGATAATAAAGGAGAATATACTGAAAAACAGGGGAAAAAAAGTGTTTTCGAAAGAACCAAGATGTTAAAAATGCTGTAAAGACTTTGAAATATAAATGTTACGGAAAGTTAGATTTAGAACACGAAATACAATCTTTTTTTTTAAGTGTACAAAAGATATCAGATTATTAATAGAAGATAGAATTAAGAATGTTTTGATCTAAAGGTTAATTTTATCAATAAAACAGGTCAGCATGAATCTATGTAAAGTTTACCAAAATTGCTCAGAGCTTTTAATAGATAAACTTAGAACAATGGCAATATGGCCAGAGTACTGAAAGATGAAATGAGTGTGAAGTTTTTTTGTTTTTATTTAAAGAAGTGTGTCAGGAAATGGGTTGACCCGTATGTCAGTAGGTTCGCTCAAGAAAAACAAATATGTCACCAGTTCTCTATATAAAGAGCAAAGTTGGGTTGAGAGCAGAGTAGAGCTGGGTTAGAGACAGTGAGGAAGTGACGTCAGAGATTGGAACAAAGCACTCACTAACATGTGCTATTGATATAAGTACTGCTGCTCCTGCTACCACTAATATTACTACTACCAAGGACAGGAACATTGCTGGTTGTAGTAGTTGCACTAAGAACAGACCAAAAAGGGTTAAAATGAAGCCACCTCTCTCCTTTAATGAAATTACACAAAGTATTTTCTTTTGTTTCGTTGATCATCATTCATATACAAGAGACATTCAACTTTTGACACAAGAATTGTATTATTATATGTATTGTTGATGTTATATATATATTAAAAAACAACTTTTGTCCCTCTAAAATCGGATCGACTTGACCATATTTATTTGCTGTTAACCCAATTCTCACCCAAGCTTGCAGGTAGACCAATAGAGAGCTTTTGGAATTCTACAACCCAATAACTACTCGCCAGGAGCAAAAATCACAACATGGCTGGTGAGTGGAATCGAATCGACATTTGAAACAAGAGACTTAGGTTTAACCTGTAATACTGGACCATACAGGACCAACGACTGGTCTTGTGATAACGTTGGCCCAGTGGGGTTAGGATACTGTGTCACGTGGATGCCTTGACCAGAGATCACATTACAATTGACACTGTATGAGAGGATTGGCATTACACTAGAAAAATTTTAAACATAACTGTTACCTCCCACCAAAATAACATTAGAATAATGCAACAGACTACCCACAGTGCATCACTGACCTGTATATATAAATAGTCAAGCAAAAAAACAATGTATATGGCCTGATGATTACATTTAGCATGAAACAAACTATCACCTCTGTGTGTTGACTTCAATGTCCACTTTTATATTTACATAGGCTCTATCTTTGATATTGAGCAGTTTAACCCATAAAGCGAAGTGACACTGCTTGAGCAGCTATCAAAATATGCTAAGTGGTGGAATCTCCCTGACAGTACACCTGTTTGTAATAAGATGGGTTTCCTGTATGCAACAGATATTCACACTGAGGTGTTGGAGATCATGAGAGAAACTAGTTCTTTTAGACATGGACCTCAATCCTTGGCCATTCAAACTTGCTACCTCAAGAGCCATGATTAAAGCTTACTGTCATACTTCCAATGACCTGTCTCATAGATCGTTGACTCATTTCATTTTTAATGAAGCTATCCTGGGACACCACTCCTGATGTCTCTAGGAAATATTAGTTTAACAGCTCTAAAAGGAAGAATGCATAAGACACAGCTGTTTGAGGGTTCCTATAGCCCCTCTATACTTAAATAAAGTCAATTCCAGTTTGCAATGGTAAAAATTTCTATCCCAAGTAAAAATCATCACAAAAATGGCAAAATGCATTTTCATACTTTTATAGGGGTAAAATGTTGAAAATGACTGTTTTGTCATCTGAACAAAATATCAAGGAAATTTTTGATCTGAACCTAATTTCTGAAAGCAAACAATGTTCTTTCATTTAAAAGTAAAATTGGCTCATGTAAATGAATCAAAAAAATTTTTTACAGTGGGTAAAATGTGAAAAAATAGTGAAAATTTTGCATTTTTTCTAGTTCTAAGCAAAAAATTTCCCCAATGATGGGAAATTAACCTTTTTTTTTTTTAAATCAGAAAGCCTAAATCATAATCAAATTATTTCAGGCATAAAATTGAGAGTTTGAAAGAAAACAATATTCCTAGGGGGTCAGATTGTGACAAAGTCTGTTGGTAATTTTCAATTTTCCAGGGGTTAAAAAACATTGACACCCAGCCATGGAAATCTTTAGTAAAAGGTGAAAGATTTATCCACAATTCCTGACCACCAGAAACCAGGAGTTTATAGCAGCGATAAAGAAAATAAAACCAAGTTGACTTTGACATGTCTGGGTCAAAGGTCAGCCAGACAGGCAGTGATAAATGTTGAACAAGCTGTCATCAGCTTATAAATCTTACAAGATAAGAGCAAAGAGTGAAAAAAAAAAGAGGAAATATTGGTAAAAAGGGCTTGATATAGGCTATTTTTTTCAAACCCATATTTAACAATGGCTTGATGTGTTTTATTTTGTTATTTAACACCTTGTGACCCGGGTGATGACAACAACACTTAGCAGACAACATTGTTTTTTTTTGTCGCATGTCTTTCATATTTCCCATCATTGGGTCACATAGCGGTTCCTTTTATTCAATGATGTTCACACCAACTTAAAAAGAAAGGATTGAAGTTTTGAAAAAAATTGTTTTGACGTGAAAAAATATTTTTTCATAAAAAAAGGTGATTTTTCTCAGAAAATTTTAATGCTAAAACCCGAGTAACATTTTTCACAGCCAAATTGAATATTAATTACCAGTGAATAATTTCATGTGTAAACAATAGCCATCTGGATCCTATAACATGGCCCGATAAAACATCTGGAA